ACCCAAATACACCTCATGACTGTTTTGAACAGATGAAAATGGAAACAACACATCTACCAACTGTGCATGAAGACCCATTGGTAGATCCCGATCTCACCCTGTTTGTGGACGGCTCAAGATATGCTGATGAAGAAGGAAGATACCATACAGGATATGCCGTAACCACAACAGATGAAATTGTCAAATCATCATCTTTACCATCAACTATGTCTGCACAAGAAGCTGAATTGCAAGCCCTGACTTCAGCATGCAAGATCTCTGAAGGAAAGCGCGCCAATATCTACACGGATTCAAGATATGCACTGGGCGTGGCTCACGACTTCGGATTAATTTGGAAAACAAGAGGATTTCTTACCACCGCCGGTACACCAATCAAGCACGGTTCCGCAATCAAGGAGCTGATGGACGCCCTCCTACTCCCAGAAGAAGTGGCTATTTTGAAGATAAAAGCACATGGGAAGTTGGACTCAGATGAAGCAAAGGGCAACCATCTAGCTGATCAGGCTGCAAAACAAGCTGCAAGAGAACCACAGGAAGTGGAAAGAAGAGTGTCCGGAAATGAAGAAACTCCCATATTTACTCTGCAGACTCTTCCAACTGACCTGAAAATCCTGCGGGAACAACAGGCTACAGTTGCCCCTGAAGAAATACAGAAGTGGAAACAGAAAGGGGCAGTTCTAAGAGATGGAGTGTATTACAACAATCTCAGATTCTGCCTTCCTAAGAATCTATACCCAGCAGTTGTTCAGTGGGCACATGGCCCTGCACACTTATCAAAAGATTTGATGATCGCCCTTGTACAGAAGTACTATGAGGCCCCTGGAATTACCACGCTAGCCAGCAATTACTGCAAGACGTGTGTCATCTGCGCCAAGTGCAATCCGGGGAAAATGGCTAAAGTCCCTCCAAAACACTTGGCCAAGCCCATGTACCCGTTTCAAAGAATTCAGATAGACCACATCCAGATGCCAAAGAGTGGCAACTTCGAATATGCACTAGTAATAGTGGACATGTTCTCAGGCTGGCCAGAAGCCTACCCAGTGGTTAACATCACCACAAAAACAACAGCAAGACGGCTACTTACTGAAATTGTATGTAGGTTTGGATTACCAGAAGTCATTGAAAGTGACCAAGGCCCAGCTTTCACAGCATCAGTAACCAAAGAGATTTGGGCCGCCCTAGGAGTGACCCTTGCCTTCTACACACCTTATCACCCACAAAGCAGTGGTAAGGTGGAGCGTATGAATGGCACCTAGTGATGTCGCGAACCCGAAATTTTCGGTTCGCGAACGGCGAACGCGAACTTCCGCAAATGTTCGCGAACCGGCGAACCGCCCGAAACGCCATTGACTTCAATGGGGAGGCGAATTTTAAAACACACAGGGACTCTTTCTGGCCACAATAGGGATGGAAAAGTTGTTTCAAGGGGACTAACACCTGGACTGTGGCATGCCGGAGGGGGATCCATGGCAAAACTCCCATGGAAAATTACACAGTTGATACAGAGTCTGGTTTTAATCCATAAAGGGCAGAAATCACCTAACATTCCTAAATCACAATCAATATGGATTGACACCTGACATATGACATATTGACACCTTGACATATGGATTGACACCTGTCCTCAGAGCCCCTGATGCACACGGACACAGAGCAGAATAGAGACTGGTCCCCCACATAGGGTCACTTGGCAGATATGGATTGACACCTGTCCTAAGGATCCCCTGATACACACTGACACAGAGCAAATAGGGACTGTTCCCCCTACATCGGGTCACTTGGCAGATATGGATTGACACCTTGTTACAAACTGCTTGTAACGGCCCTTTAAATGGCAAATTGCCCTGCTTCCCTGGGTTGTGGAGAAGCCTACTTTGCCAGCCTCCTCCCATGACTATGGCCCCTGGGAGATTGTGAAAATGTATGCACTTTTATTTGGTGTGTATGGCCCTTTAAGACTGTCGGTGGGCATATTGGGGCTTATGGACTCTTTATGTGACTGGTGCTGGCCCTTTAAACACCTTTTTTGGGACATCAGGAAGATTGGGACACTGCCCCTTTAAGGCCGTGTCCCCAGACTTGTTGGGGACACGGCCCCTTTAAGACGGTGTCCCCTGTGTCCCCAGACCTGGTGCAAACCCTTTGTGCCTGCCTTGCTATTTCCCACTTGGTTCAGTAAATGGGAAATTATTTCAGCTGCAGAGACTAAGTCCCATTCGGCGATGGGACTTAGTCTTTTTTTCAGCCGTTTTTTTCAGCCTTATTTCAGCTGCAGAGACTAAGTCCCATTCGGCGATGGGACTTAGTCTTTTTTTCAGCCGTTTTTTTCAGCCTTATTTCAGCTGCAGAGACTAAGTCCCATTCGCATGGGACTTAGTCTTTTTTTCAGCCGTTTTTTTCAGCCTTATTTCAGCTGCAGAGACTAAGTCCCATTCGCGATGGGACTTAGTCTTTTTTTCAGCCGTTTTTTTCAGCCTTATTTCAGCTGCAGAGACCAAGTCCCATTCGGCGATGGGACTTAGTCTTTTTTTCAGCCGTTTTTTTCAGCCTTATTTCAGCTGCAGAGACTAAGTCCCATTCGGCGATGGGACTTAGTCGCTTTTTCAGCCTGAAATAGACCGACCTCACAGCCCAAATCTATGGAACTGTTTTGGGCAGGAAAATGTGCTTGCAGTCGGTCATAAAGGGACCTCCAGCTAACTTTTTAACCCCTGGATGGATTTGGCTGATTTTTGGTTAAAGAATTGCTGGTAACCAGAGGTGAACCAGCCTATGGGTGTGTCTAGAGGATCCCAAAGGGGGTAACCCTTACATGTGTTTGAAGAAAAAATATATATACAGGAGGACCTAGGTGGAGAGGAGGATAAACCCCGTCCTCACTCAAGGTCAACCTAAAAAGGAATCCCCATCCTAGTTTTAATGCTTGAGAAAATATGATATAATAAAACTTAACCTTTATTAATAGTAGATAAAACTATGTAAATACATAGAACAAAAAAAGAAAAATAATGTGTGGAGTGCCACCACAATAACTGTGAGTATGGACAGTAAAAATAATAATAATAATGGTAATAATACGTAGCGATGTCCTTTAGAATCACTTCTAGATAGAAATCTAGCAAGAGACTATATTTATTCAAATTTTGTTGAAGACTAGTTTCATGTGTGCTAAAGTTGGGATCTTCTTTAAAGTTCTTTGTGGCTTCTACTGCCTCACTTACTTTCTCATTGACTTCATTAAGTCTTTTGGTCTCGAACCTGCAGATAATATCCATGAAGGTTCGAGAACAAAGGTTTGCTGCCTCTTCCCATTCATGTCTAGTGATATGAACATTGAGTCTAAATTTAGGCACCTATCCAATATCTGTAAACAGCAAATCAGAATGGGTTGGGAAATATCATCTTTACAAAACTATCTAAATAAATCTATGATACCAAGGGGACTCAGGGTACAGATTATGCCAAACATCAACATGGATGATGCCACTCTCCTTAAAGAATGGGAAGAGGCAGCAAACCTTTGTTCTCGAACCTTCATGGATATTATCTGCAGGTTCGAGACCAAAAGACTTAATGAAGTCAATGAGAAAGTAAGTGAGGCAGTAGAAGCCACAAAGAACTTTAAAGAAGATCCCAACTTTAGCACACATGAAACTAGTCTTCAACAAAATTTGAATAAATATAGGGACCTCATAAAAAACCGTAAACACAGAAAATTTCTAAGGGACCATAAAGATTATAAAAATGAGCGGGTCTATAGGAAATTTAGAAAAACTACACGTGTAGAATCAGATCAAAACACTACATCTGAATACGAGACTTCAGACACAGAGAATGATGATAATACTATATCCTCAGTGCCCCATACCAGTGAACACTCAAAAGGCATCCTGAAAAAAGGGGTGACTTTTTTAGGGCAGAACCCCCGGGAGGGGGAACTTTCCCTACAGCACAGACAGACAAGATACAGGGGGAGGGCACGGAAACGATACTAAGTACTAATATCAAGGTTCTCAATCTCTCTGACACTATACTCACCAAACTACAACATCGGGTCCTGATGAAGGGTTTATCATTTGTTCCGGTACCCCCTTTTAATAAATTTGATTGGATTAAAGATATCCATTTATTTGGTAGACGTCTGGCTCTACACAAATTTTTCCTTACTATAAATGAAAAAAGAGCCAGAGACTTGGGTTTTAGTGTCAGAGAATACCAATGCCTTAACGAACTAGTGTCCCTTCTGGAAGATAATGATGATTCCTCCCTACAACCCTATACAGATCTGTGTCCCAGGAGTAAATTTACACCCAACTTTATAGACTTCAAAAACATAGATTTATTTGTTGAATCAGTATGCAAGATGATACAAAAGCTTAAAGTTGATTCCCTTGAACCTCGACCCCATAGCAACCTCTCAAAGGATGAATGGTGTGCCCTTCATGGCCTGCAGGACAACGAGGACATCATCATAAAACCGGCAGATAAAGGGGGGAACATTGTTGTTTTGAATAGAACACATTATATCCAGCTTGCAAACAACATACTCAAGGACGATACAACTTATCGCACATTGAGTTCTGATCCCT